AGAGGATATTTGTCTTGGCCAACACAAGTGGGTGTCAAGTAGGTGAGTAGACAAATGACTGGGAGAAGGTGGCAGCTGAGTGAGAATGGGTAAGTGGATGACAGAGTGACTGAATGGGAAAAAAGGACAAGTAATCAACTGTGACAACATTCTAGAATATCATATTTTCCAACTCTTGTTGTAGCTTTCCTTTGAACATTCTCCAAGTCTCATATCTCTCTTCTCTTTGGCGATCTTCAGCATTCTGTTTCAGTCTCTCTTCGTGTATGTGTGTGTGTGTGTGTGTGTGTGTGTGTGTGTGTGTGTTACTTTCCCATGGCAAAAGCTTACTATAGTGCCAGGTAATATTTTATAACAAGATCCCTAATATTTAAATGCAACTTAATTTAAAAATTATTTGTGATAATGAATTTGTGGAAATGTAATGAGAAAAAGAAAATGTACTTGTTTATTCCTTTCAGGAAATTCTTCTATTCCCCCTGGTTTTCATCAGCTATATTTTGGCAGGCCATGGACATGGAAACGTGAAGACATCGCTCTTAAAGAGAATTAAAATAATCACATCTGATTTATATAGACATCACCATAGGGTTTGACAGTTGGAAAATCCAACAATCAGATGAATAGGCACTTAAAATTAAAGGCATGCCATACTTTTGCTAACATTCTGGTTTGGGAAATTGTCAGTAGTTCACAGGAGGCATTTTTCAGATTTCTAAAGCATTTATAATGGCAAGACTGATTTATATCTGTTAAGACGAGAATCAAAACAAGTTATAGACACTGGCATACTTCCTGCAAAACTGTTATGAAACTGGGCGTGGTGGCACAAAGTGATAATCCCAGCACTCAGGAGGCTAAGACAGGAGAAATATGAGTTCAAGACCAGCCTTAGCCTCATAAGACCCTGTCTCAAAAAATAAATAAATAAATAAAACAAAAATAAAAAACCAAAAACAGCTCATCATGGTGGTGCAAATCTGTAAACCAGCTACTTGGGTGGCAGAGAATGGAAGAATCACAGTACAAGGCTGGCCCAGGAAAAAACTTGAGGCCCTATCTGAAAAATAGTTAAAGCAAAAAGAGATGGGAATGTGGCTCAAGCTGCAAAAGACTAGTAAGCATGAAGCCCTGAGTTCAAACTCAAATACTGAAAAAAAAAGCCACACAACCATTACAAAGACTTAATTATTTTGAATTTTCTTAAGCATATACTATGTGTGCTAGATACTAAGGAAGATCCTGAAGAATTAAATCACACTGTGTCTGACCTCAGGGAATTTATGATGTATCTGTGGTATGCTGGAGTGGTCATGTGGGGTTTGAATTAAACACTAAAAAATAGGTAAAATTCCTAAGCAAACCAAAGGAAGAGCACTAGCAGAATTTTAAAGTTAATGAAATGTTTAGTAGACAGTTAGGAGACTTACCTGGGTAGATGAAGGTGGCATGTTTGAGAGTAGTAAGAGGAAAAGATAAATGGGAGCATAAAAACCAAAGTGTATAGACTTAGAACATCAAGTTGAAGTCTCTCAACAATGGAGAGCCAATGAAATCTGACCTCTTTTTATAAAACCAACATTTACTAATACAATAATAGCTATCTTTTATAAGGAGAGGAACTCGTGATAAATACTAATGCTAATCAGGGAGGTTAGTATATAAAAGGTAATTATAAACACCAAAAATTAAGCTCCAGAGTCAAAAAGTCAAAATAAACACAAAATAAACACTGTATCAGTTAATAACCAGAACAGTCACTCCCTTTATGTGTATATATACACATGTATACACACATACTATCTATCTATCAATCTATCTATCTATCTATCTATCACCATGCTCAAGCAGTCTCCCCAACCACTTCTCCAGTCAGCTTTCTCCTTTCTCCTTGGGGAGGAATCAAGTAGATTAAAAGGATAATCCTAAATGCTCTTCTAATTTAAAATTAATGCAGAGAAGTGAGTATATGTGTCACTAAAAGTCAAACTTCTTTTCTGCTTAATACGGAGAACTAATATCCTTTTACACTTGGCACCATGTCAAAGTGACCTCTCTTTCTCTCTCTCTCTCTTTCTCTCTCTCTCTCTCTCTCTCTCTCTCTCTCACACACACACATACACACACACACACTCACACACACACAGCACCTCCCTCTTCTCCCCAATGTCCAAGACGTTCCAGACAACATAACAAATCACACAATTGGGAATGAGTCATATGTTTCCACTCTCCATCCAAAAATGAGCAAAAATAGTTTCCACTTAATTTATAATCAGAATTTTCTGCACATTTCCTAAAAAATTAAAGGGAAACTATTAAAAATATGGCCCTTCTTTCTCCAAAAGTTACTAATTAGTTGCAGACTAAAGCACCTTTTGATAAAAATTTTTTTGTGTTCTCTCCATTCCTGCAGACAAAGGCTATAGTTGCATGATGCCAAATGTCTAAATCAACCATTTGATGTTTTCATGCTTTCGGATGTTTTCAAATAGCTGGTATTTTGTAGCTATTACTCTATCCAGTCCTTTTGTTATCACAACAGTATATATGGATGCAGATATTTCTGTTGGGAATATTTCTCAAGGCCAATGGTTTATTATAGTCCTAACACCTGCAAATATTTGGCAGAGATTATTCCATCGTCTTTGTATCCCTTACTCTTCCTACGACCCCACCCCTACCTTTTGCCATTATGTAGCTGCAAGTTTATATAACATGTCCTTTCTTTGATGCTACTAATCATTTACCTATGACCCATGAAATGTTGCAGCTGCTGGAGCATAAAGTTAAGTTTTAAATGATATTTCATGGGGAAACAGGTTTTTTTTTTCCTTTTTCTTTTATTATTCATATGTGCATACAAGGCTTGGTTCATTTCTCCCCCCTGCCCCCACCCCCTCCCTTACCACCCACTCCCCCCCCTCCCTCTCCTCCCCCCTCAATACCCAGCAGAAACAGGTTTTTAAAAAGAGGCAGCAGGCTACAGTAGAAAGGCTAGTTAACTCAGTATAGAGACTTAGGTTCGGTTCCAGCTCACCTACTACCAACCAGTTCTGTGACTTTAACCAAATCACTTAACCTATCAAACTCACATTTTATGAAACTTTAAAGTAAAAGGTTCTGATTAGACCAGGTCTGAGGCCTAACATTTTTAATTAAAGAATTGAAGTCAGCCGAGCACAAGTGGCTCACACCAGTAATCCTAGCTACTAAGGAGGCAGAGATCAAGGGGATTGTAGTTTGAGGCCAGTCTGTGCCCCCCAAACATGAGACCCTATCTCAAAAATACCCAACACAAAAATGTCTGTTGTAGTGGCTCAAGTAGTAGAGCTCCTGCCTAACAAGTGTGAGACCCTAAGTTCAAACCCCAGTACCACAAATAAAAGAAAGAAAGAAAGAAAAGAATTGAAGTCAATGAGATTATTCCCCTCTGTACTCTTGATATGAATGAGAAGGTCACCTTGAGTAATATAAATTACCAAAAGAGGCACAAACCACTGTCAATGTGACTACTCTCAATATTACTTACAATGAATTATAGAAAAGAAAATGTACCCTATTCTAATAACTGCTACCCTCATGAACACTATAACTTTTACACAAATTTGAGTGAATATTCCAGAATATATCAGAAGGAAAAACTCCACTCCGTTCTTACCTTTTTTCCATTCCAGCTTGGCTTATATACACTGGCCCTGTTTTGAGGTAATAATCTCACTATCCACTTAACCATTTTATTTTTCTGGAATCTTTGGTGAGTAGCTTCCTTCTTAAGAGAAATTATGCCACATAGCAGGCAGGCAATGGGAATAAACAATTTGCCATATCTGGCATTTGTTAACATCAATGTGAGGTAAGAAGACTTCAAAACTAGTAATTTTGGCTTGCATATATTATATGGCACAATATATGGAAATATTACAATGAAACCTATTTGAACAATTAATAATACACTAAAAAAGAATAGAAAATGTATTATACAGCACAACAACTTCAGAAAACTGCCCACTGAATACAAATGAAAGACTTGAACCATCCAAGGTGAGGACTACCAACAAGTACTTTAGCCAGTTGTCCATAATAACAAACACTGGCACCAAATTTGATACCAGATTAATTTATTGCGTTCAGTTTAAATTTTTAATTCAGTATTTGCTTATAACTCCTGATTTCACTGGTACACTGAAATTTCTTTTTAGTTTTGTTTTGTTTTTTAAGGCAAGCTTAGAATTAGCTCAGAGTTAAGTACTTAATGGCAAATTTTTTAAAATTTTTGTGGGTCTTGTCCTTGAGACACTCCACAGGCCCTATTTTTGTGAAGGGTTTTTCAAGATAGGGTCTCACAAACTATTTGCCCGGGCTGGCTTCAAACCACGATCCTCCTGATCTCTGCCACCTGAGTAGCTAGGATTACAGGTGTGAGCCACCGGTGCCCGGCCTTCATGGCAATTTGTTATGGCCAATGTCAAACTTTTGTTTCTTTACTGTACTGAGTATACAAACACAAAGGCATGCTAATGTCCTCCATAAAAATCTCTCATCTACATGGATATGCTCAGACACCTCCACCCACACCTATACAGAGACACACCCAAACATATGCAAATCAGCACCTATGCTAATTGCAGTACACCTACACAAGTATTCACATACTTAAAAGAAGAGGTAGAAAGATAATAGAAAAGATTGTAATGTGCAATATGTCATTGACAGAGAAGAGAGGCTGCTGTTTCCCTAGATGGACTACTGATGGAGTAGACTGGGGGCTAACTCCCCCAGAATTGTCCAGAAAGTATATGAATGCAAACAGGTTTATGCAACAGATGAGATAAGTTCCAGTGAGAGTTTGCAGGTGAGTAGGTTATTCCTCTTGAGAACAACTTGAAGTTAACTCACTTGGCATATAGGAAAAGTGACCCATTTTATTAGGTAACTTGCTAAGTGTATAACTATATTGTGTCAACGTTGTGTGAAGAACCCACACCCAGAACCCTTACCTTGAGTTTCTCAAATCGATCATTCAGGGAGGCGACCTGATGGTCTCGGTGACGACCCACCAGTTTGCATAAGGCACAGATCAACTGGTCATCAGATACACAGTACATGTTCACTTTCTCATTCTCATGGTCCAGGCAGGTGATCCCTCGAAGATGTGTGTCTGGCACTGGTTCCACCAGGCGATGGCTGGTGAAAGGTTTCTTATTGGGGTGTGTGGCCCGCAGGCAACGGTCACAATAGGAGACCTCACAGGTGATGCATGTTTTCACTGCATCTCTTGGTGGGTCCTGCTCACAGAATTGGCAAGCAATTCTCTCACTAGACATGGTGGAGCTGGGCCTGTAAGTCCTCTCCCGGCGGCTCTCACTTGGGGAATTGGGCCCACTTACTGAAGCCTTCTGGAAGCGATCGATAATGTTCTGCAGGGTCACATTCCTCTTGAGGCCATCCAGACCCCGGTGGTTCAGCGAGATAACATACCTGCACGTAGGACACTGGAAAGCAGTAATGGGTTCAATGGATTCACCAGAGCTGCAGCTTGAGACCAAGATGCGATGGGCACAACTGAAGCACAGGCTGTGAGCACAAGGGAGCAGAAGGGGGTCTTCAAACAACTCGAGGCAGATTGGACAGGTCAATTCAGACTCCAGTGTTTCCATCTTTAGTGAAAATAATCCTGCTGAGGCATTAAGAACCACGGAGGCTGGGTTTTCACCTGCAAGGAATACAAAGCAAGAGTCATTAGGCATTTTCAAAGGAAAAGTGGATATAGCATAATTATACTCTAACCAATGGAAGCTTTACATGCTGGACTCCCCGTGGATGCTTAAGCAATAAGAAAGCGATTTGGGTATTAATCAGGAAGCCTTTCTCCCCGCTTCAAACCTTGTTTTTGACAAATGCCTGAGTTTTTTTTCCTGCACTAATAAATAGAACCGAGTGGCCACCTCTGAGTCCTGGTTTCCTGATTAACACTACCATTCCAGCTCACAGCATTAGCATGGATCATCTCTCACATATTCTCCACTGATATCTCTTCTCCTGGATTATGATGAGTTGAGGCCCTGCAAAATTCTCAATCTCCATTCTCCAATATTGTTCTCCATTTCACTTCAAGGCACAATATAAAAGGGCTGCTCCTATTTCACAACCAATGGAAGGAAAACAAGGCTATATTTCAAACTAACTCTCTACTTCCTGAAATGATTGCATTCTGAGAGCCTGCATAAAAAAGGAGAGCTTTAGAAAAATACAGTTCTCAGTGCAAGATAATAAGTTCTTCAAAGTGTGAACTTGAATTACTTCCTATCACCACACATGGAAATTTCTGTTTCATCCCATTTCTAGTAAACTGAGCTACTAGAGACAAGAGTGGATAGTTTTCACTTGCACTTTCTTTGCTCACCTTCAGAACCCCCTTCATTTCGTCAAGTGGAATGGGAAAGAATTTCAACTTTTTTACTTACTCAGCAATAGCTGCTGATCAATGATGAACTCACATTACCTTGTGGCTTCAGTTTGGTTTTATTATTATACGCCTGCTGAACTAGCACAGCCCGCTATGAAGTTCATCTCCCATGTGTCTTTTCATACTTCCTAAAATACAACCAGATGGAAATCAAGAACTAGGTAGAAGTTAGCAAGGTGAGCAGCCAGAATTTTTCAGATCTGGTAACCTTCATTTTAGTGTGCACTAGAGAGTAAAAGAAATCACCCAACTGATACAAAACTAACCATTGCCAATCTATCTGTTCTCCCACAGGTATTTCTGAGTTGAACATACAGACACTTATTGCCATGGGTCTTCCATTAATTAAAATCCACACATGTAAATATTCTAAGCTATCCTTAACTATAAAAAATCTTATTCATTAAAAATATTAATCCTATGTATAAGAAAGAGGAAGGCATCTCCTGATTTTGCATAGCTTTTGTTCACCACTTCACTATCATTAGAAACACTCATCAGCGTTTGAAACTTTGTATTTGTCCAGATATTGTCATTTCTCAGTGATAACTGCATACTCCTCTCACAGGATGCATAAATACTGAGTACAATTATGCCTAGTGCATAAGTATAATAGGTGTACACATAGAAGTGGTTTCTAAATCAAATCTTTTAAGTGCACTGAACTAGCTATTTAATGAAATCTATAGAAAAATAGGCTGTAAAAGAGAAGAATCTCTTTGTTAAACAGCCACTCTCAGTTTAGTAGGTTCAAAGGTTTGAGAGCCACTTTTTTTTTTTCCGGCGGTGCTGGGGTATAAACTCAGGGCAGGCTCTCTACCATTTGAACCCTTTTTTGTGTTGGGTATTTTTGAGATAGGGGTCTTGTGAATTATTTGCCTGGGCTGGCTTCAACCTGTGATCCTCCTGATCTCTCCCTCCTGAGTAGCTAGGATTACAGGTGTGAGGAGAGCCTTTTTTTAAAAAGTGAGACAAGGTATTTTTATTTTGCAATTTACAAGTGCTTAGAACATCTGTCAGCATTCACCTATAGAAATGAAAACACAAAGCAATTAAATTGTTCATTGTGTATGTGTGTATATGGAGTGACATATTTCTCTCATAGAATCTTAGAACTGGAAGATCTTTAGAGAAGAAAGATTACAACTTCCACTGAAGGTAGAATATTGCCTTAGTTAGCTCCATGTGATTTCCCTCAAATGTTCAAATTCAACATGACCATAAATGAACTCATGTTTTCCCATCACTCCTGCAAAAAATCTTTTCCTCCTTCAATTTTCCCTATCTGGTGAATATCACCACCGAAGCCTAGAAACCTAGGAGTTCTCTCATTTGCACATTTATCATTTCAACCACTAGTGGCTCCTAGAACATTGTTTTTCTTTCATTTACATCTGTATCTCCAGCTAACTCTCTCTGCTCCTCGAAAGCATCAACATTTTTTATTTTTATTTACAGTGTGGTATCCCCCACGGAATAGGTGTTCAATAATTGTAAGTAAAGTATTGCTTAAACCAAAAGAAGGGATCTAGTATTTTTGGGCACTTCCTGTGTTCTGAGAACTATGTTAAGCATTTTACACACATTATTTCATTAAATACTTTCAGGAAGCCTAGGAAGAAGGTATTGTTACTGTACTCATCATATAGTTAGGAAAGTGGGGCTCAGAGTCATTAAGTAAAACAACCAGGACCACGCACACCCAAAACACAGGTCAGTCTAATGCCGATGCCTGTGCTCTTTCCCCTACACCTTTATTTCAATCGCCTCGCCTCCTTCACTGAAGTTTATCTTGACTATTTTACAGGAGGATTTCTAAGCAGTATGCTTCCACTTCTATTCTTGTCTCTCTGTGCCCCCTTTGAATCTGCCTACCTCATTCTGATCCCTTCCAGAATCATATCTCTTTCCTGTAGGCCCATCTCTGCGTCACACTGCACTTCTATCACTATCTCTTCCGGAGTTACATGTCTGCATTCCTCAGCGTCTGTGTTAGAAGCTACCTGGGCTGGTCAGAAGCATTACGAAAGGCATGTCTGTGTTGAAATGTATATAAAGTCAATTAGAGTACCACAGTTCTCCTATGTCTTAGGAAGGTGCCACATAAATTTTTCTTTACAGAGGAAAAGCTCTTCAAATTTGCCTGAAGTCCTAAAATTTATTCCCGAGTCAAGGTGACCCTTGAGCCTCCCTATGAAATTAAGCATGGAAAAACATGCTATGGGTCAGGATTGCCTTGGGTAAGGCCAAGATAGTCCAACCAGCGAATTCTGAACCTCCTAGAAATGTTTGCAGAATATTGTATGAATGTCATTGTGCATTTCCATGGGGAAATGGTTGTTCATAGCTTTCAAAGGATTCTCGAAACAGTCCTTGACAAAAAAGTGAAGCATCAGCACTCTAAAATAACCTACCTTAACTGACTTCAGCTCTATAAAGAATAATATAAGATGATTACAGACTGTTGCTTATTTCAAGTAACTTTTCTATGCTGTTTCTATCCTGTTCTAACTGGTTTAGCCAATTTGGGGTAGCTGAACATCTTTTTCAACTTCTTCAAACATTTGTTCATCTCTCACTCATGAGATTTCCTTGTTCTGGTTACTCCTAATGTTTTGGCATCTTTTCATTCCCTTCCCCATTTCCTCTAGCTCCATGATTATCTAAGCACCTTTAAAATAACCCTTTACATGAATTATCTCATTTATACTTTTCTAAAAGGTACATATTCTTTTTTTTTTTAGATTGGATCTTGCTGTGTAGCCTAGGTTGGCCTAGAGCTTACTATATATCCTATGCTGGCCTGGAACTGGTGATCTTCCTACCTCAGCTTCCTTAGTGCTGGGATTACAAGCGTGTACCACCATGCCTGGTTTGGCAGGTATCAGCATTACAGAAAAAAAGTACCTTGTCCAAGGTCATGCTTTTTGCAAGTAGCAAAGCTAATATTCAAACTTAGAAATAAACCTCCAGAAATAAATCCATATATTTATGATCAACTTATTTTTGACAAAGGTCCCAGTGGAGAAAGAATTATCTCAATAAGTAGTGCTGGGACGACTTCATTTCCACATTCAAAAGGACCAAGCTGGAGCCCTAAATCACAACACATATAAAAATTAATTCAAGCTAGGCATGGTGGGACACAACTGTAATTCTAGCACTTGAGAGGCTGAGGCAGGAGGATTGGGAGTTTAAGGCCCAACTTGAGAGGCTGAGGCAGGAGGATGGGGAGTTTAAGGCCAGCCTGGGCTATACAGCAAGACCTTGGGCTACATAGAAAGGCCCTGTCTCAAAATAATAATAATTAAAAAAAACTAATCCAAAATGCATCAATTACTTAAATATATGGGGTGAAACTGTAAAACTCTTGGAAGGAAAGAAGTGTAAATCTTCATGAACTTAGATTAGGCAACAGTTTCTTAGATGGCACCAAAAGCACAAGCAAACAAAAATATAGATAAATGATATTTCATCAAAATCTAAAACTTTAGTGCTACAAACAGCGCCATCAACAAAGCAAAAGGGCAATTCACAGAATGGGAGAAAATATTTGCAATTTCTATCTGATATTGGTCATGTAACCAGAAATATACAGAACTCTTATAACTCAACAATAAAAAAAAAAAACAACCCAACTTCAAAATGAGTAAAGGAAGCTGGGCATGGTGGTGTGTGCCTGCAATCCCAGCACTCCAGAGGCTGAGGCAAGAGGATCACAAGTTTCAGGCCAGTCTGAACTACACAGCAATACCCTGTCTCAAAAACAAACAAACAAAAGGAAATGCTTTCAATAGGCATTTCTCCAAAGAAGATATACAAATAGCCACTAAGCACAGAAAAGATGCCCGACATCATTAGCCACTAAGGAAATGCAAATAAAAACCACAATAAGATACTGCTTCAAAACACCAGAATAGCTACAACAAAACAAAACAAAAAACCCCTAGAAAATAGCAAGTGTCAGTCACAATGTGGAGAAACTAGAACCCTCACACATTGCTGGTAGGAATAAAATGGTGCAGCTGCTTTGGGAAATAGTTTGGCACCTCCTCAAAAGGTTAAATGTGGAGTGATCACATGATCAAGCAATTCCACTCCTAGATTTATACCCAAAAGGATTGAAGATGTGCTCATTCAAAAAGTTGTTCGCAAATATTTTCATAGCAGCAGTATTCATGGTGTCCAAAAGGAAAACCATCCAAGTCCATTAACTGATGAAAGGATGAACAAAATGTGGTTTGTCCATACAATGGACTATTATTCGACTACTAAAGGAATGAAGTGTTGATACATGCTACAACATGGATGACCCTTGAAAACATTATTCTAAATGAAAGAAGCCAATCACAAAAGGCCATATATTGTCTGACTCCCTTATATGAGATACTTGGAAGAGCAAGCCCATAGAAATACAAAGTAGATTGTTGGTTCCCAAGGGCCAGGAGGGAGACAGGAGGAGAATGACTACTAACACGTATGGGGGCTTCTTTCTGGGATTACAAAAATGTTTTGGAATTAGATAGTGCTGATGGCTGTGCAACTTTGTGAATATACTAAAAACCA